TGTGTGTGTAGTGTGTGTGGTGTGTGTGTGTGGTGGGTGGGTATGCTCCTGCATATTCATAGAGAGGATGTCAGGAGTCCACTCTCTCACTCTCTATGCTAGCCTCTGGAGACAGGGCCTTCTCTCTGAACCAGGAGTGAAATGTTGACCAGCAAGCCCCAGTGTTCCTTCTGTCTCTGTCCTCCACAGCGTTGGGTTACAGATACATGAATGGCTATGGCCTGCCTTTTACATGGGTGATGGAGTCTGAACTCAGGTGCTCAGGCTTCCCTGCAAATCATTTTCCTCCCCATGGCCTTGAGATTTCACCTGCAGTCTGGGGAGTCTAGACCCTTCACCAGAGAGCGCATCCTGTAAGAGCTGGGTTTCTTCGATGACAATCTTCATCTCTGCATGGGGCAGGCCTTCTCTGAGGAAACTGTAGGGTGACATTGACCAGCTCTGCACGCATGAGGGGGTGGCTCCGCCATGCAGAGAGAGATGAGGTTTAGTGGGATGTCTAGAAGCAAAGCCTAACACTGAGATCTTAGCTTTGAGTGCCCCGCCCTGACTTGAGTCTGTCACAGTGGCTCTTTTATTCCCCACAATGTACCTCTTCCATTCAGGAATGGAAATAAATGTTTACCTCGTCTCAGAATTTTATATCTGTTATAAGAGGAATCATAAACAACTGAAATCTACAAGGCCAAAAGCTGGAGATATTTGTTTCATACTTTTTTAACTCATGAATTTGTGTGGTTTTCCCGATTAGAATCGTATGCTAGTGTGATCTTTTCTAGTCGTTTGTGAATAAATGTGGAAGGTAACTGCAAAACTGCAAACCCTTTGCTTGCAAACCTCACAGACTTTACACATACCACAGTGCACACAGTTCACAAGCCTTACCCTGTCCAGTGCTGGCCTTTGTGCTCGGAGCTCGTGGTGAGACACTGAAAGGGCGGTGAGCGCCCCCTGCTGGACACTGGCACAGGAGCCCTCTGGTGTGGCTTCCTGCTGTCATTCAATGCATCTGGAGGCTGTGCCATGGCCTCTAACTTCTCTAGATGTGTGCACTTTGTCTAAGGTTTCGGTCTCTTTTTGTAAAGATTTATTCATTTTATGTTTTGTTCATGAGTGTCTTGCCTGTGTGTATATGCATGTCTGGTGCCCATGGAAGTAGAGTTATGGATAGCTGTGAGCCACCATGTGGGTGCTGGGAGATGAACCCAGGTCTTTACTATTGAACCATCTCTCCAGCCCCTTAAATTATTTTTTGAGACAAGAGTTTCCTGAAGTCCAGGCAGGCCTCGAACTCGATACATAGCCAATGGTGAGCTTCCTGATTCTCCTGTCTCCATCCTGCAAATGTTAAGGTTACAAGAGTGCCACCATGCTGGGGTGGGAAGTGGTCTCTTAGTGAATGTGTCTTTAGTCGAGAACTGCAGGCTCTCCCAGTTTCCTTTCAGGAATGACACTTGGCCCTGGGTCACGTTTTTGTCACTTGGCTGTTTTTCACCAGAGCACTTCATTCGATTTTTGGTGTCCTCTGCGGTCTATGACTTTTGAGTGAACATGTCAAAACATTAACAATCACCATGTGCTCTGACAGTTTCACACGCGTGTCTGTATCTTGATCATATCCATCCCCTATTCTTCCTCCGATTCCTTTCCCCCAGGCCCTCCCATTACCTCCTCCTCCTCCTCCTCTTCTTCCTCTTCTTCCTCCTCTTCTTCCTCCTCCTCCTCCTCCCTACTTCATCCCCTGCTCTTTTTAAATTACTTAGTGAGACTTGTTAAAGGTGTCCCCATGTCCATAGCTGTGGTGCCTTCTTCTGTTTCTCTGGCCTGTTTCTGTGCCTCTTTACCCTCTGCCAGCAAAAGAAACTCCCCAACTTTCTCCCACCTCAGAAGCTACCTTAGGAACTGGCTGTGTTTTTCAAAATTTTGTATTGTGACTGACTTTGACTCTCATTTAAAAAAAAAAAAAAACCCATTCCTTGGGCTAAGGCAGGCAAACAGAGCCCAGTGAGTACTGCCTTTGTTGGATCCCCTCTGGGTCATGTTCTGATCCATGCTGACATTTTATATCTTAATCTGTATTGTAGATTGCTCCAGTTAAACCCTCTCGGCCAAAAAGGCACTTGCCTCCCGCCGGCACCATTGAAAGTGTCAACTTGGATGCCATCCCCCTGGCCATCGCTCGTCTGGACAACAGTGCTGCCAAGCACAAACTCTCCGTGAAGCCAAAAAACCAGAGGGTGTCAAGGAAGCACAGGTGGCTCGTCCAGGTGCGTAGCGTGTCCTAGCAGGTGAGGCGGCGCCCTTGCCTGCCTGGCCTAATTCTACCTGTTGTGCTGCAGTAGGGAGATAACTCACTCCCTATCTGGGACTTGAGTGTCTGAAGTTTACAGGGATCAAGCAGTCCGCTTACCCTCCACGGCCTGAGGAGGAGGAACTCAGGGTGTTGCCTATAGGGAGGTGCCAGATGCTGCTGGGAGTGGTGAGGGTTGTGCAAGAAAGCAGGCCAGCTCTGCTTAGCTGAGATTTTTTAGGGTTTGGGCTCCTAAGCTTCAGGGGACAACAATAAAATCCAAATTTGTCCCTCCCACCCCCTTTTTGGCTCATCTTTATAATGCCAGGTTAGTTGTTCCTGTTATTAATCCAGACTAAGAGAAATAAACTTGAGAATGGAGGGGCTAGAGGGCAAAGCAAAATATATTCTTGTTCTCTGTTCTCCCACTTCTCTTGCTTTGTATGACCAGTGCCTGAACTCACTTGGGAAGGGAAACATTTTAAGACCTGTTTTATCCCATGCTTAATATAGGTATAGGTACATACATACGATAAAGTTTAATTCCTAAATTCGGTATGGTATAAAAGATTTACAACAATAACAAATTAGTGCAATCGTAACGACACACCGTACTAAGTCGTTTGAAACATTTTATCTCTGGAGATTCAGTTGCCCTTAGTATTCAGAAACAGTGAGAACAATACCTTTGATAAAGGGGCTCTATTAGTTATCACTGTCATTGCTGTGACAAACAGCTGACAAAAGCAACTCAGGAGAGGGCTTGTTTTGCTTAACAGTTTGGGCATACAGTTGATCCTGTCCCAGAAGTCCTAGCGGCCAGAGTGTGAGGCAGCAGTCACATGCGCATAGGAAAGAGAAAGGACAGTGCTTTCTCCCTCCTACTCCTTCCGAGACCCCCAACCACCCACATTTAATCTGGGCCTTCCCTTCCTCACTTAAGCTGTTCTGGAAACACCCAAAGGTGCATTCCATACTGATTCTAAGTCCAGTCAAGTTAACAGCGAGGCTTAAACGTCATGGGCCACTGCAGGGACTGCTGTGTCTATACTTGGAAGGCCTGTCCTGTCCGGATTAAGAGCAATCACCAGTGCTGTGGCTGGGACATTATGGTGGTGTGGGAAAAGACTAATTGTGCTTTCCTTCCTCACATCAGGACCGAAAGAATGAATCAGGCAGCTTTGAGAGTCAGTCCTCCCTGGACCAGAATGGGCAGCTAGGAGAAGAGAAGTACATTTGGCACGGAGAGGAAGCAGAACCTTTGGAAGCCCATGAAGAGAAAAGACAGCAGGAAGAGTATTGGCGGGAACTCGAAGCCAAGTGCAAACGACAAAAAGCCGAAGCCGCTGAGAAGAGGCGCCAGGAAGAGCAGAGGCGGCAGGCGCTGGAGAGGAGGCTTTGGGAGGAGAGCCTCAGACAGGAGCTGCTGGAGGAGGTGGAGGAGGAGGGCGAAGAGGTGGGCCTGCAGCTACAGGCAGGGAAGGCGCCTCCAGAGGAAGGGCTGCGGTCTGGTCTGGAGCAACAGCGCTGTGCAGAGCAAGAGCTGGAGGAAGCCGACGACCCCTCCCGCCTGGAGGCAGAAAAGCGCAGACATGAGCAGGAAGAGGCCGAGGGGCAGGCGGAGAAACTGAGGCAGCGCGAGATCGAGAGGCAAGAGGAGGAACTGAGGCAGCGCGAGGCCGAGAGGCAGGAGGAGGAACTGAGGCAGCTCGAGGCCGAGAGGCAAGAAGAGAAACTGAGGCAGCTCGAGGCCGAGAGGCAAGAGGAGGAAGTAAGGCAACGCGAGGCTGAGAGGCAGGAGGAGGAACTGAGGCAGCGGGAAGCTAAAAGGCAAGAGGAAGAACTAAGGCAACGCGAGGAGGCTGAGTGGCAGGAGAAACTGAGGCAGCGCGAAGCCCAGAGGGAAGAGGAGGAACTAAGGCAGCACGAGGCTGAGAGGCAAGAGAAACTGAGGCAGCGCGAGGCTGAAAGACAAGAGGAGGAACTAAGGCAGCGCGCTCAGGAGGAGGAAGCCAAGAGGATGCTGCAGAAGGAGGAGGAGGAGGCCAAGTGCATGGAAGAGCTGAAAGGTCGGGAAAAGGAGGCGCCTGAGCCGCTGGTGGAGGAAGGCCCGCAGAGTCCAGACGGAGAGAGCCAGCGTTGGCTAACGGATGACGCTGTCCAGCAAAGCCCACTGCAGCGGGATCTTGAGAAGCCAGGGGGACGAGAAGACCTGGAATCCCCAGGGCAGAGAGACATCGCCGGGGAGCAGAGAGGAGACATGGAGCCGGCAGAGCAGAGCGGAGACTTGGGCGCGCGCTGCGGTGGTGTAGACGTGGAAGGGAAAGAAGTCGCTCAGGTAGACAATCTCCAGCCGCAAGAGAGACTGATGGAAGATACGCCGGCCCCGGGGGAGAAGGAAGCCACCGCCGCAGACATCGACCGAAAGGTGGAGGAGCTCCGGTGGCAGGAGGTGGACGAGCGGCAGACCATGCCCCGGCCCTACACGTTCCAGGTATCCTCCGGGAGTAGGCAGATTCTCTTCCCCAAAGTCAACCTGAGCCCGGTGACACCAGCCAAGGACGCGAGCCTGGCCCCAGCGGCCCAGGAACCGCCCGCGCCCCGCGGTGCCGGTGCCGCCTCGCACGCCCTGCCCTCGGCGCTGAGCATCCCACACACGGCCATACTGGTCACCGGAGCGCAGCTCTGCGGCCCGGCGGTCAACCTGAGCCAGATCAAGGACACGGCGTGCAAGTCTCTCCTGGGCTTGTCAGATGAAAAGCGCCCTGTGGACGTCCCTACGGTGGAGCCCAGGGCTGGCGGCGGGAAGTCCAGACCTGCTCCAGAGTCACCGAGCAATGCAGCCGCGCTAGCCGAGTGGGCTTCCATTCGATCCAGAATCCTGAAGAACTCGGAGGGCGACCAGCGTGGCGACAAAGAGCCGGCCAGAGCTGGGGACGAGCCAGCGCCTCGAGCGCGGTGCGATTCCCGAGGGAACGTGCGCAGGACGCCGCCAGTCAACGCCAAGTTCTCCATCATGCCTGCCTGGCAGAAATTCTCGGACAGCGGCTCAGAGACCTTCAAACAGAGCCTGGACGGTGAGAGCGTAAGGAAAAAGCTGGGGCTAGCGCCCAGCGAAGAGACCGCACCCCAGCCTCTGCCTGCAGCGGCTCAGCAACAGGTAAGCCAGGAACAACCAGACACCACTGACGGATGCAAATTTGCCAAAGACCTTCCATCTTTCCTCGTTCCAAGCCTGCCTTCTCCGCAGAAAGCTGCGACCCGCACAGAGTCCACGACCACTTTGGACGGCGAGACCACGAGTGACGTAGGAAACCCAGACCCTGCGATGCCTGGAAGTGAGGAAAAGGCCTCGCCCTTTGGAATAAAATTGAGAAGGACCAACTACTCCTTGCGCTTCCACTGTGACCAACAGGCGGAACAGAAGAAGAAAAAGAGGCACAGCAGCACTGGAGACAGTGTGGATGGGGCCACCCCTGCAACTGGGAGCGCCCCTGGAGAGAGAGAGCCTGAAGCCATGTTCCTCAAGCATGGTTCATCCCTTCCCCAGGAGAGAAAGCCAGCCCTACCCCCTCGGAAAGACTCTGCTGAAAGCCATTCTAGTGGTCACTATGTTGCTGTAGCCCAGTCTGGACTACCACAGGCCAGTGGCCAGACCCCAGCTCCAGAACAAGACAAGGCAGCAAGCAAAATGCCATCCATGCAGAAGCCGGCCCTGGCTCCCAAGCCTGCCAGCCAGACCCCACCTTCATCCCCACTCTCCAAACTGAGCAGACCCCACATAGTAGAGCTGCTGGCTAGGCGAGCTGGCAAGCTCGACTCCGAGCCCAGTGAGACTGCCAAGGAGAACCAGGAGAGCAGTGATAACCAGCCACCGTCGCCATCGCTGCCGGAGGAGCCGAAGGGGCAGAAGAGGGATGAGAAAGATGTGCCAGAAAAGAAGCCCGCTTCCCCGCCTCTGCCAGCCAGCCAGCAAGAGAGACCTTCCCTAACTCCTGAAACAGGTAGAAAAGGTGTGTGACTGCAGAGTGAATGTGGCTTCATTCGGTGGGGAGGGAATTGAGCGGGAGCCCCGGGGAAACCGGCTCTGGGAACACCTTAATTAGGAACAGGTTTGCTCCAAATCAGTCCCTTTACATTTCACACATTCCTCGAATTGGAATGTCGCCCCAGTTAACTCATATCGTTAACCGTTTTGAACAAGTCTGTAGCGATGATCAAAAATAGCATTTCTTAGACCAGTGTCTGCCCTTCAGTCTGGATCGCAGGGGCTCTGCTGTGCTAGGTAAAACGCAGCTTAACTGCCTTTTCCCATACTGCAGACTTCCCATACGAAACCATCAGAGCTGGCTGCCTCTTTCTTCATACAAAATATCTGAAGCAGCTGAGTTGACTTTTTTTTTTTTTTGCCTTTAAAGAATGCTCACCTAATCTTCCCAGACACAAAGTTTGGATCGTGGCTAGGAAGTTTCTCCTTTTAAGTGTTTAGGTGTGGGGTGGTTTTTGCTTCCTTGAGAAGTGTTAGTTTGGTTATTTGTCTCACCTTCGTGAAAGCCCCTCGAGTACTGCTGAGCCGTGTTGTGTGCTCGAGTGTGCTTTGCCAGAAACGGCAGGTGGACGAGGTTATGTCTTTCTTCGATGTCAGAACTGATCGAGTAACAATAAGGTCACAAGCTACACCAGTTTTATTGCTAGCCATTGCCAAGTTGTCTCTATTTTCCTTGACGGTCGGCCATTGGCAAACCAAGTTCTCTTATTCCAATCTTAATTACTAACATTAAATGTCACATCATACATTACACTTCATACAGTGAATACATGTGTGCATGCACACATACCCCTGCATGCACTTGTGTTACGGAGTGCCTATAAAACGGTAACCCTCAACGGGGTTCCAGGAATCCAGAGAGGACTTACTGGAGGCAGAGCGCTAACACAGAATTACAGAGTAACCAGAGACAACAATAATAAAGCCAGTAGCAGGGGCTGAGGAGATGATCCTGTGGTTAAGAGCACTTGTTGTCTTATAGAGGACCATGGTTTGATTCTCAACATGGCGCCTCACACCTCTTTGTAACCACAGTTCCAGGGGATCCATCACCCTCTTCTGGCCTTCATGAACACCACACACACATAAACACACATAAACACACACACACACACACACAAGAACTATTGTCAGGGGAGCATGGTTTCAGTTAAATGAGGCCTCAGACCTTAGGGTTGAGTCCAGCTGCAGAAACAGCTGTAGGTGAAAGACCACGGAACCATGGAAAGGGTTCCATGTCTTTATGGGGTTACAGGTGAGCAGGCTGGATCCTTCCATGTGGCCTGTTCTATAAGTGTTCAGGCTTAGTATTTCTAAGATGATTTTAATGGTGCCCGTATGTTCCTAGTCTACTGTGATCGGCTTCCAGGTGGTTGGTTCCTTTTGCTTATAGGAAAAAGTGTTATCAGTCTGCCTCATGGGTAGTGCTGGGCCAGGGATGTCTAAATGCATGAGATGCAGAACCATCTTGCTTCTGCATTTGCACCCAAAATGGAGTCACCTAGGGCAAGCCACAGGCTGAGAGCTACTGTTTACGAAATATGGAGTAACTTATGGCATAGCAGGGTCTCAAAAAGTCCTTTTCATTTTTATTTTTACCTTTTAGTGGTTTGTTGTTGTTCTCATCTGATCAGCCAGTCAGCCACGCACACATTCATAAGGATGGGCTCCAGCAGCCCAAGACCATTCTTTAGTTCTGACAAAGTGTGCTCCTCTGACGGTGGCAGGCTGGCACTCCAGTGGAATCCAGGTACCTTTCTCTTTAGCGCCTTTCTTTTCCACATTGTTTTCCTTCATCCATTCCAGGAAGCCATCTCTAGTCTTATGATGCTTAACATGCAGATTCATTCTCTTGACAAGAATCTTGCCCTTGCCAGGAGCTGGTGCCGCACACCTTTAATCCCAGCACTCAGGAGGCAGAGATAGGTGGATCTCTGAGTTCGAGGTCAGCCAGGTCTATAGAGTGAGTTCTAGCACAGACAGCTTTCTACACAGAAACCATGTCTTGAAGAAAAGAAACAACAACAACAAAAAATCTTGCCCTTAGTTTTCTTGTTTATACAACAGTGCCAACAGCATGCAGAGTAATAGCACGGACTCCTCTAGTTTTGCTATGGTAACATTTATGAGGTGTGCCTTTTTAACAGCGTCTGTCCCCTTCCTGTCTACTGTATCACTCATAGATGTGGCCAGAGGAACAACTCCATGTTTTCTAACTGGCCCAGAGAACATGTATAAGGTGCTTCCTCTTTCCCCTTGCTCGCCATTTTGGTGAACTACTGAAGGACAGCGGTACATCCCCGAAGAGCAGTCCTCTCTAAATGACCCGTCTGCTCTACTTGCTTTCCTGGGTGAGCATGAGCCTGCACAGCCTGCACATTCTTGTCCGTAGTGACTGCTGTTTGATGGACATTAGCCTTTGTGTCGTTAGCTCTTGTGTCTGCGAAGTCCCTCTCAGCCTGAGGTGCTCCATCAGCCTCCCCTCTTCCCCTTGAAGAGAAAGCTCATTTCTCTTGGAGATGCCTCTTTGATTCTTGTCATTTTCTCTCCAAAAGCTATTACCACCCCTGTCTTCTTTCCTGGTGTTTGGATTTTGGATTGTCAGACTCCAAATTAAATAAGCTGGGCATAGAGGCCCAGGACCCCCAAGACCAAGTTCTTAGCATAGAGAAGAATTATTTGCCCCAGAGGGACAGAGGGAGGGAACAAGGGAGATGAGGCAGGGATGTTTGTCCCAGAGGACAAAGGACTGCCTCCAAATAGAGAGGAGACAGGTATGGAACATAGGGTAGAAGTGGCCATTTATAAATGTAAAGGGGAAGCCCCATGTTAGGATGAAGTGTTTAATTTTAATTGGGAATGTTAATTAGGTAAGCCAGAGGGGCCTTTTGATTGCTTGACTTCAATGCTTTGATAGCTGGACGCTGGTAGTCAGCCCCAGGAGGAAGAAGTAGACAAATAAGGACATGGACCTTGGTGGCTAGCTTTAGGAATGTAATGTAATCTAACGGTTTTTAACAAGGCAGGTGGGGATGGAAGAGATGGGCCAGGCCTCCTAGAGCCATGGCCACACTCAAGCCGTTCACTTCAGCATAAATGCCCCTGATCCTAGTACTTGGGAAGCAGAGGGAGACAGGTCTCTGTGAGTTAGAGGTGGGCTCGGTCTACACAGCCATTTCCAGACCAGATGGCCCTGGCTCTGTGGTTAAGAACTTACGGTGCTCTTACAGGGACGAGAGTTCAGTTACAAGCACCCAGCTAGTGAGCCCCTGCCTCAAACAAATAAAAGGAAATAAGTCAGCAGGCATGAAAGCAAGGACTACTTGCTTTAATTGTCGCCTACCTTCAGTAGAGTTTTGCCAGTCAACTACTGTAGGCCGGGGTGACCACCAGAGCACCCCTTCAGATTCAAATTCGCTAAGCATAGGCTGCAGCAATGTATTGACAGTATATAGGCAGAGCCATCCTAAGACCTCCAGGATAGCGTCTTAAGCAAGGCCTAGGAGGGATGCTGTGTATCTGCGTTACAAATCATGTTGTCACTTTTTACTTTTTGGTTAACTTCTTGTCAGATCTGACTTCTTTCTAAAGAACTTGTTGCCCCTGCTAGGTTTTTTGATGCTTCATTATTAATAGTAAACTAACTTTTTACGCCATTTACTTATCATCTAAAGAATCATGTAGTTTAAAGAAAGTAGCCGCCACTTTCAAATATTTACCCTAGTTATAGAATCTTTCAATATGCTAACTGTGAGAATAAAACTACCATCCCTTCCAGCCCTGCACAGGCCCTCCTGTGCATAATCTTCCTCAAGACTCTTAACTCAAGCTAGGCACTTGGGAGGCAGCTCTATGGGAGTTCAGGGCTAGCCTTGTCTACATGGTTAGATTCAGAATAGGCAGAACAATATAGTGAGGCTCTGTCTCAAAACCAACCAAGCAAACCAAACCAGCCAAACAAACAAAACCCCAACCAAAAAAAAAAAAAAAAAGATTCTTTTTTTAACCTTAGATACATACACACAACCTTTGGTAATGTGGGCTGAGTACAGGCATCCGAATCAGCCTGGATATTCATCATTACCCACAGATTTAAATGGAGATAAATAGGGGCTGGAGAGATGGCTCAGTGGTTAAGATTTTATAGTGTTCTGACACGGATCAGAGTTCAGGTGCAAGCACACTTGTTAGGCAGTTTGCAACTACTTACAATTCCAGCCCCCGGAGGATCCAATGCCTCTGTCCTGTGTGGGCACTTGTACTCGTGTGTGTGTGTGTGTGTGTGTGTGTGTGTGTGTGTGTGTGTGTATGTGTGCATGCACACACACACACAATATAAAATAAATCTTTAAAAGGTGACATATTGAAATGCTGACAGTTTTCTCACCCCGATGAAGTGTCTCACGCATCCTCTGAGGCATTCTGCCAATTTTTTAGACCTCTGACTCACAAAGGAGTCGTGTCTCCCTGTCTTCTGGATGCTATGCATGGACAGTGGGATATCCAGACGACGTCTAGTCTTCAGCGGCCACCTCAGTTTTTCCATGTCTTAGTGGTGGCTGACTGGCGGCTGTTTCATGGTCCCAGTCCCTAGTAGGTGGTCCTCAGCTTTGGAATATATGACAAGGTGATTATTTTTCCTCAAGCCTTGGAAGAATCTTTGGCTGAGACCCAAACAGAAACCCAATTTTAATGTCCTGTTTTTGGTCCTGTGAGCTAGACCTAGTAAGTCTTTACATTTACTCTTTAAAATCCAGTCCAAGGTACCTCATTAGAGCAATAGGTAGTACATCCATCTTAGAAAAATATGATCTCATGGGCTGGAGAGATGGCTCAGAGGTTAAGAGCACTGACTGTTCTTCCAGAGGTCCTGAGTTCAATCCCCAGCAACCACATGGTGGCTCACAATCATCTGTAATGGGATCTAATGCCCTCTTTTGGTGTGTCTGAAGACAGTGACAGTGTACTCACATATATAAAATAAATGAATATTTAGAAAAAAAAGATACAATCTCTAACCCCAGATTGCGCTCAGGAAATACAAACTTCCTTGTTTTCCCTTGAAAGACAAATTTGTCTTCATTTTCAGTTTGTTTTTAGGAGATAGATGGCAAGAAAAACACCATGGAATCTGAATTACCCCATCACAGTGTGGGAGTGCTGGTCAGGTCTTTGGCATGGGTGGCTTTGCCATCCTTGATGCCTTGCATAGAAATGGCAGGACTCTGTCTACCTGATTCTTAGATAACGGCAACGCACCTTCTCTGTGACCTAGACTGAAGATCTGATAGAGATACGTTTCGGATACTGGCCGCCCTGTGGAGTGGACTCCACTGTTCATAGCTGGATCTGATCCCGTCATCCTGTTTCTAAGGCAGCCTCTCTCATAATCTGGGGTCCCCTTTTCTCCTCCTCCTCTTCCTCCTCCTCCTCTTCTTCCTCCTCCTCCTCCTCCTCCTCTTCTTCCTCCTCCTCCTCTTCCTCCTCCTCCGGGGTGCCACTGCTAAACACAAACCTTACCAAGGCAGTAAACCACATATTGTCTGGGTCTCCTATAAACATGAGTTTTTAATCACACTGGAGATTTAATTATTATTTTTTTTTTGTAAAAGTAATTTCACTTTTAGGGAAGAAAAGTGCCCCTGTTTTCCTGTTAGTCAAAGATGTTGCCTTCTCCCTCATTGGGGTCCCTTGGGCATCAGCCTGTTAGTACCCATACCACGGACTGTACAAGATGAGGCGTATGTCATCCGTTCCTCACAGCCAACGTCATCTTCTTCCTTCACAGAGAAGCCCGTGCTTCAGAGCAGGCACTCTGTAGACGGCTCCAAGTTGACAGAGAAAGCTGAAACTGCTCAGCCACTGTGGATAACATTGGCACTGCAGAAGCAAAAGGGATTTCGTGAGCAGCAAGCAACTCGAGAGGAGAGGAAGCAAGCCCGGGAGGCCAAACAAGCAGAAAAGCTCTCCAAAGAAACCGTGCGTAGCTCACTGTGCTTTCGGTGTCACTGCCCTACGCTTCTCTCTCTTCTAAGTCACTGGCTTGGTTTTTAAGATTAGAACTGGAGGCGCTGATTACCAAGGGCAGGGAAGGAAATGCGTTGACTAACTTTAAATCAGGACAAGCATGTTTTCAGTATAACTTAATTTGGTTTTATTATGCTTCCAGGCGAACCTGGTTTGGCAGAATCTAAGATGTATTTACAGCAACAGCTCACACACGATGGTTTCAGTAATGTCCCTTGTTCCCTGTCTGAGGTTGCACTTTTTATGGTTTGAATGACTGAAGGTCAATCATGATCCAGAAATATTAGGTGGAAAATTCCACGAATAGACATAAATTGTCATTTGGTGTGATGAAACCTCACTATCTTACTCCATGGGGCATGAAGACTCTTTGTCCAGTGTCTCTTAACTGTAGGTGCCAACTACTGGTTAGTCACCTGATACCCGTTTTGGTTGTCCCATCCACCCATCACAGGGTCCCAGTGTTTACGTCCATCCTATTTTACTTACGAATGGCCCCCAGGTGACTGTAATGATACTGGAGATTAGCACATGCCAGGAAGCTATAAAGTACTTCCCCAGGTGAAAGCTCTTGACTTAGTAAGAAAAACAATCATAAGCTGAAGTGGTACAAATCTAAGATAAGACAAGGCAGAAGAGTCAGGGTTTAGTTCTATCCTTGGTTTCAGACATCCCACAAGGATCTTAGATTATATCCATCTTGGGGAAGGGTAATTGTTATATACGGGAGATATGGAAATGACTGTGCAGTGTGCACAGTGTATCGAGAGCCTTGTTCCATGACCTAATTTTATAATCAGCTTGGATAGTAGTAACTTTCCATCCTTGGTACACAATACTGAGCTCTCCTGGGAGGCCTGTCTTGAATGCACTGCTCACAGGTGATGCCCAGTCCCTCGCTGGGATGCAGAGGTTAGGGGTCAGGGGTCATGCACTGAAAACATGCTTTGCCTGTCATTCCCAACGCAGGTCAGTGTCAGCCTACAGCCTGGAAGCAGTCGGGTAAGCAAAGCTGGTTCCGTGCACAAGCCTGCTGCTCCATCTGAAGAGAAAAAGCCAGAAACAGCAGTGTCCAGGCTGCAGCGCAGAGAGCAGCTGAAGAAGTCCAACACTCTTCCCACGTCTGTGACAGGTAGAGAGTATGCCCTTCCCTGCTTGCCTGTACCTACAGTTTTCCCTGAGAGGATCTTTATTTTCTATCGTGTAGTGAGTGGCACAGCATCTCAGACATCACAGAGCACAGGCTCTCCCCAGACCTGGGCATCAACTCTGATGCTGATGCAAATGCCAGGACTGCCCCAGCTCTCAGTGGAGAGACAGTAAGATGCCTTAACAGTCAGCTCTTTATGGAGGTACAGACACCTCTGCTCTGTAGCCTTTATGATCTTCCGTGGTATAAATACTTCAACTGTGGCTAAGCTACTAATGTGACACCAACTGGCTTGCTCGGTTTCTGAACATATAACAGGACAGCATGTGTTGTCATTAATGCCTCATTGCCCATCATGCGCTGTATCTATGATCTGTCTATTTATTATCTAGTTACTGTCATCTACCGTCGTGTTGTGTATGTGCATGTGTGTGTGTGTGCGTGTGTGTGTATGTATTTATGTGTGCATATGTGCATGTGTATGTGCCTGTGTGTGTATATGTATGTGTGTGCATGTGTACGTGCATGTGTGTGTGTATGTGCATGTGTATGTGTGTGCATGTGTGTGCGTGTGTATATGTATGTGTATGTGTGTGTACGTGCATGTGTGTGTGTATGTATGTGTGTGTGTGTATGTATGTGTGTGTGTGTGTGTGTGTATGTATGTATGAATGCTATAGCAAGGAAAAGCATATGCCAGAACATTTAAACAAAGGAAGAGAAGAGTAGAATAGGATGGGCAAGGCAAGGTGTAAAGTTCAGGTGAAACTGAGGCAGAACAAGCCTGGGTTTGGAAATAGACTCCAGGGTCATATCATCAGAAGTGACACAGTCGAGGTTAAGTGTGTGAAAGCTGTCACCTGGGAGTTTGGAAGCGGAAGCTTGCGCCACCCCACCCCCCCAACTTCCTGGTGACTTCTCTACCCTGGCAACATGGCTCAGGTGCCCAGGCATTTCCACTGATGTGACTCTAGCCACTTCTCTTTGCTTATAACACATGCAAGATGTAAAAAAAGTAAAACAGCCCAATGGTTGCCAACTATCGCCTGGCTCCAAATCACTCAGGAGATGGATAGCTCTGAATACATATATTCCCAGGATCTAACAGGCCATCTGCTTCCCCGTACGGCTGTGCCGATCCCCAGAGAGCATAGCATGTCTGTCTTGGTCCATTTTCAGATGGCTAACAGAATACCCAAAGCCAGGTCATTTATCAAGCCGGGAGGGCCCTGCGCTATTTCATCTTAGGTGGGAAAGTGAATGGACAAGCGCATACATGAGGAGAGAGAGAAAGCAGGTGGGCTCAAATGGTAGTGTGAGAAAATCATTAACCTACTTTTGAGGGCCTCCGACACCCATGCGCACACCATGAGGCTTCTGCCTCCCCGCACTGAAGAACTCAGTGCCGCTGCACTAGAGGGTAAATGAATTATTTATTCTAGCTTGCCCATATAAGAGACATAGAAACCTGGTATTTTATTTCCAAGACATAAGCCTCCATTGGGCAGGCTTTATCTCTTCTCCCCTCTATCCAAGCCATTCGCCCCTTGAACTCCATATGTGGTTTGAGTCTTGCCTGGGCTGCTTCTGCTCCATCAGCCTGTTCTCGGGGTGCCAGCCTGTCCTCGGGGTGCACTTCTGGCCCCGTGCTCCTAATCCAAACAGCCTCATTCCTTTCTATGTCTTTTTCATCTCCTAGTGGCTTGAGACCCCTCACTCAATTCTCAAGTCCCGCCTCCCTCTCTTACTGCCCAATCATAGGCTCTAGCCTTTTATTAACCAATCAGCTTTAAATTGTGGAGCAAGGTTTATATAACTTAGTCTGGTGTGCAAAAGAATGCGCTTGTCTGGATGGCAACAGGATCTTGGGGTTCAGAATTTAGCCTTTGAATACATAGCAACAGGCCAACCCCCAACAGTAGAGAATTAAAGGTCCTCCATGAGAACACTGGAGAGGCTTCCTCAAACCTTGGTGGTGTCTAAGCCTGTGCCCTGGCTACCTGCTACCTGACGTCTGGAGCTGTGGAGGTATTAAAACATGCTTTAGTACTTAGTGGTGGAGGGGGAGCGCTGATATACCACAGCTACCTTAAAACTGCTCTCCTCACCCTCGAGCATTCTTATTTGCTCTTACACTGAGGGCTCTAAGTGTTAGAGCGAGACTGAGTTTCTTTCACCTCTTTCCTTCCTATACCCAGTTGGAAGTACAAAAGGGTTATCCCCGCTTACAACAGCTCCAACTTAATAAAGCAAGCCTTTGCTTCAAAGTGTTTGTCTTCGCATTCAATTAGTATCCCTTGAGTTCTAGAAGGATGTGGGTCATGTCCCTGGGCATCAAAGTTGTGAGCACTCCAAAATTCTTACAGAGAACCTCCTCACAGAAGCCTAAGATCTCTAGTAAAGAAAGCAGAGGGCTGGAGAGATGGCTCAGCAGTTAAGAGCACTGACTACTCTTCCAGAGTTCAATTCCCAGCAACCACATGGTGGCTCACAACCATCTGTAATGGGATCCAATGCCCTCTTCTGGTGTGTCTGAAGGTAGCGACAATGTACTCACATACATGAAATAAATAACTAAATCTTTAAAAAGAAAGAAAGCAGGATAATCAGTCATGATAGCCTTCAACTCTTAACCTTCAGGAGGATTACCATGAGTTTGAGGGCCATCCTGGGCTATAATGTGAGATGTCTCAGAAAGAGGTGACAGGGGACATAGGAATTACTAGACAACACTACAAGCCATGACAACTTGACAGGTGGCAGTTTCCATGAGTTCACCTTAGGGCTCAGGTGGAGGCAGGGATTTCAGGAGTTCAGGGACATAGCAGTGGCATCATGGCTCTATCATGTGTGGGAATCTCATTCTGGGGCGTGACCTGGGGAGGTGTTTGCTAATGAGAAGTACAAGAGATCTGTCGTGTAACACAGTGGCCACAGCGATCAACCTACTGAATTCTTAAAATGTTAAGAGTAGATTTTCAAATGTTCTTACATAACTTTGTGAATAACAGCTAGATTTGGCTATTCTGGGGTCTCTCTCTCTCTCTCTCTCTCTCTCTCTCTCTCTCTCTCTCTCTGTCTGTGTGTGTGTGTGTGTGTGTGTGTGTAAACAGCATTTCATGTATAGTAAGTATATATAATTCGATTCCTTCTCTTTTCCTTTGAAACAATGCAGTGGAGATCTCAGACTCTGCGCCCTCAGCACCACTGGTAAAAGAGGTCACCAAGAGGTTCTCCACCCCAGATGCTGCCCCCGTGTCCACAGAACCTGCCTGGCTGGCTTTGGCCAAAAGAAAAGCAAAGGCCTGGAGCGACTGTCCACAAATTATTAAGTAAACAGTGACTTTTATCCATTTCTGTGGCCAGTTGTTGGCTCTTCTCTTGCCCTTTTTATTTATTTATTTTTTTATATGAGGTAAGGGAACCAGGCTAGGGAAAAGCAGCATGTTTTACAGGCTTAAAATGATGTTTAGACACAGAACTGGTGGTGTTCATTGTAAAGAGTGTATTTGCACAACCTGGGTCCTGGTGCCTTGAGCTCCCCCTAGTTCTCAAGAGACAGTTTTGTCTGAGGGACCACGTGAAGCAAAGTCTGCAAGTGAGAGCTCCTCAGGAGGGCCGCCATGCCCGCCCATGGCCTTCACATGTGCACACCACGCACCATTGCAGAACATGTCCTTTTGCCAATCTTTGTAAGTTTTTTTTTTTGGATTCTCTACTCTTCTATCCAAAACATTGACCCTACTGTGTTTGCATATGTAACAGTGACAGGTTCACATGTACATCAAACATGGTGTCACTCTCCTGAATGCAGGAACTGGAAAATAAGGAAAAGCTGGCTCCCAACTCTGTGCCTATGTCTGGCTTTCATGAATTCTCCCTACTCTAAAAACCATGAGGTAGCAAACCCACTCACACTCTTATTACGCTCCGTCTGTGGTGTGCCCTGTCGTACCAGTACCCTTAAAGACACATGGACCATTTGGCCTAGCTGCCTCCTAAGGGACATCTGTATTTAACCTGGTGAAAAAAGGAAATTCTTTGTCAGACTTGTCTCTGAGAATCTCCACGTAGTACAGTGGCTCCTCTACAGCTCAGGCTGTCTTCCCAGACTCTGGGAACAGACGGCTTAGAATATACATTTTAGGGAAAACTAGAACCTTGGGGGTAGACTGGTGTCATCAAGCTTTTCTCACTGTGAAGAGAACCCCAAGATGCAAAAGTGAGACAAGAAAATAAAAATGTCACCCACACCAGCTATGTATGTATGATAGTTTAGGTTGCTGACGTTCCATGCCTCTCAAGTTTTCCCTTGGCCTTTCGGGAAAATGAACAAGCCAAGATGTGTAACCTATTTGTACTAAGGACTTCCAGCAGAGAATTTCTTTTTTTTTTCTTTACTGTACTTGAATAATTCAGAGTCGAATGTTCCAAAGCATTTACAATTTAGAGCATTCACCTTGATACCTTTAAAAAAAAAAAAAAGAAAAAAAGCATCTCAGAGTTTTTACGTGGCCTTGTTATCATACACACGTGCATACAAAGAAGGGACTTGGCAGTTTCAAAGCCACATGCATTTATTTCTCTAGATTTGCTTTACACGACACTAGATATACCAGCAAATGCCCACACACCGCTGGCACTAGCTTTGTATTTCATGCTGTTGGCATATTTTTCCCTTTTTGTAGATTCTTACTCTAAAACGTAGGTGCGGATTCTTTGCCCAGTGCAAGGGGGATTGTAGCCTTCTTCCTCCTCCACTAACATGCCTTATGGCACCCATTACTACTTCTCCTTTATGCTGACTCAATATGCAATGTGCTGTTATTCTGTCTACCCCTACAGGATGACAGGGATGCTGTCTGCCATATAGAAACAAACCATTTTCTCTCTAGAAACAATAGCTCAGCTTCATGAAGCAGCCGGCATGTGTGGTCAAGTGGATAGCTGTACTATTGCAAGTTGGATTTAGTATCATATATACTGGACCTTCAGACTGTTAAGAATCAATGTAACTTTTTTTTTTTTACTGTTATTGTAAGCAACTAATATTCCACTGCACGTTTCCCAAACTGGTGTTCATTCCTAAATTTTATGTGTAGACAATTGTTCATTTTATGATTTCCTCACTGATATAACACTTTTGAGTGGGAATCTTTCCACCCAAAGCCCCAGAATGATAGTGCTACAGTGATTCTTCCAATTGACTTCCTCCTTCCTGCCAGCCTTGGCCAGTACCACAGTCATGGCAGGAAACAGGTACAGAAATAAGATGGTTAAGAAATAATACAGCTTATTATTGGTGGTACATTGCCTTTCGTCCTAGCATTTGGGAGGCAGAAGCAAGTCGAACTCTATGTGTTCAAGGCCAGTCTGGTCTACATAATGAGCTCCAGGCCAGCCAAGGCTACAGAATGGAGACCCTGTCTTAAAACAAAGAAAGAATAGTAGATGTGTTCATTTTGACTCAATACCACGAGCCCATACACAGCACAAGAAACAGCTTAGTTAAAGATGCCCCACTACTATCTTGGAAAGAAGAATCTACTGAGGAAAAGGCAGTCGTCATACTTGCTAAAGAGCACATGTCTAACATTTCATTAAAATCACTCCAAGCCTGCACTAAATACCAATCAAGTGTTACTCTGCTTACTTCTGTGTTGCGCTCTTCTGAGCAACAAACTATGGGGAAATTCTGTGAAAACAAACAATTCTTTTCCTTTTTTTTTTTTTTAAATGAATGACTGCTGTATTAAATATACGAATATACAAGCTTTTTTTTATTTTAAACACACTTCTGGCAAGATTATAGATGATTAACCTCTGTTCATAGACTTATATATGGAGGTAGAGTTTTTTGTTTACTTTGAAAATGTTTCAAGTGCAATTGTTTCTTATAAAACATGGTTGATTACCATTAAATTCTCATTTTAGCTGGTTATCTGCTAAAATATATATAGTGTGTATCCACCGTCTCCTCTTGTGATGTTTAGTTGGCTCATTTCCAAGCAGCAACATTAGCTACAAGTGTCTTGCAATATTTTTACCAACAATAAAATTAAGTAGATAATTAATAAAAATTCCTTAGTGTGGTTTTAATATTATTTTGAGGTTTTGGTTGAGTACGGTTTGAAATATAAAAATGTCCATTATTTAAAGGATAAGACCTTTCAATAAAGTACTGACAAGATCTTTGGCACTGATGGAAGCTCCTTTTTAAGCTGAAGTTCTGACTGGTTTCCATGGCCATCTGTGAGTAATCTCGAATTTACGGAGTTCTGGATGAACAAGAAAACTTCAAGTTGTTTTAAATGCTACTCTATTTATTTTTCCCAAAAATCCTAGTGGAAGAATAAATGAATAAGGATGGAAAATGCTTTTATATCAATTCCAAACTGGAAGCTAGTGATCTAGTCTTGGATAAAATGATCTTGCAGTCTCCTAGTCGAGGGCTTGTGAGCAGTGCAGCTGAGGGCCAGCTACCACGGGGCTACACCTTGGCCCATGTGAGCATGTGACCTTCAAGAATAACTTGGTGAGAGACTCAAGTCAGCGTGGGCTGTGTAGACGGGATGGTGAATACCTGATGTTACCATACATCAAGTGGAACTGCGTGTGTGAATAACATAGACACTTTTGCTTCCATAGAAACCGTAAGGACCTAGTTCAGTGGTAGAGCGCTTGCCTAGCATGAACAAAGAAAGCCCTGGGTTCAAGTCCCAGCAATGCATGTACTGGTTTTCAACACCTCCTGCCCCCATTAAAATAAGGAACCTAAGTTGATAGATGATCCTACCTTTAAAAACCTTTTTCTCGGTCTAGAGAGATGGTTCATTAAGAGCTCTTGCTTCCTTCGGGGGACCCAGGCTCAGTTCGTATCATCTCCATGGTGCCCACTCCAACTCCAGAGGATCCCAGGCACTCTTCTGGTCTCTGGAGAGGAGACACACGTGGTGCACATCTTGCATACATGTAGGCAAAACACAAAAGATAAACATCTTTTCCAAATTTCAGACTAAATAGTAAATGAAGTATTCTGTTTATGACTCACAAAATACATTCTGATCCTTTCTTTTCGACAGAGATCTTCAAACTCCTGAAACCCACTGAACTACCTTAATGTATTAGGGTTCTCTAAAGAAACATAACTGATCAGATATATATTTATCTAGGTGGAGAGAGAGAAATAAAAGGTTATTTATTTACTTACTGCAAAATGTATAGTCTAATACGATTTCTCTGAAGAAACAACTGTAAAAGAAGAGGTTCAGGAATCGGCTCGTGAAGGTGTAGAGACCGGAAGTGCCATGTGCCGTTCGCACACTAGAGACCCAAAGAACCTATGGCATAATTCAATTCAGATAAAGGCCGAAGGCCTCAAGACCAGGGAACCAATGGTGTAACCTGCAGAGAGGCAGGGAGATCCAGTAGCTGGTGCTGAATCTCAGTCTAGGAACTCTGGTATCCAAGGGCATAGAAATATGAGAGCTCAGCTGAAAAAGACGAGTTTCCTTCCCCTGCCTTCCACTCAGGCACCCGCCAGGTGGGAGAATGCCCCCCCTCCTCGTAATGGCACACTGGTGAAGACAGACCGATCTCCGTTGGTGGCTCGACTTTAAATGCTAACCATTTTATAAACAACCTCATATCCTCACCGAGGAATGGTGATCACGTCTTTGTTTACTTGCCTACGAGTGAACACCACAGACAGACTATAAATAAAGGTTCATTCGGCTCTCAGTTCTGAAATCCTAGGAGTTTGAGATCCATTGACCCCATCTGCAGAGACCTGCAGAGTTCCAGCCACAGTGATGCTAGCATCACACAGCAGTGCACAGCACCTTGGCCTGGGTCTATCTTTTACAAAGTTCTAGTCCCTCAGCAGCAACCTCCACACCCATTACCTCAAATAACCTTAATCTTCTCTCAAGGGTACCACCCCAAGGACCTCACTGGGGTTATGTTTCCACTTTCTTAATACCACACAGTGGGGGTGTCTTGATGGGATACCTTCAAATCAGAGCAGTGTTCTTTGGATGAAGTAAAACAAATATGTCTATTACATATGATTAACCACCTATCCAAATTAGGATTACCATTGCTGTGATGAAACACCATGACCAAAAAAGCAAGGTGAGGAGGAGTTTACTAGTCTTACACTTCTGCAGCACAGTTCATCACTGAAGGAAGTCAGGACAGTAACTCAAGCAGGGCAGGAAGCTGGAGGCAGGAGCTGGTGCAAAGTCCATGGAAAGATACTGCTTACTGGCTTGCTCTTCATGGCTTCATTAGCTTATAGAAGGCAGAAAATAGAAGGCAGAAACACAGCCTAGGGTTGGCATCACTCACAGTGGGGTGGTTCTCCCCCACCA